GACAAGATTCCCAAAGGAAGTACACTGTATTGATAAGGGCCTAATTTTTTTTTAGCTATTTCCTGTGGGAACAGCATGTTGGGATATGGAGAAAATCCCCATTAGCTCCAACAATAACAATTTGTTTTCTTGGAGCACTGGCGTTTAGATTTAAATGAGCAGTAGCTATATTAACAATGACATGTAATGAGGAATTTGGCTGAAGGGGTCGATTCAGGAGTGATTCTAGGCTTGTGTCTTTTCAGTGGAATAAAAATCTTTGCCTCATGAATAGGAACATGAGAACCAGTTTTAGACTAAACTTTGGATCTGGATTCATGCTACCATCGTTTAGCACAGCATCAAAGAATTCTTCCCCTTCAGATGCAGAGTTCAGCCTGGACAATGCAATTTTGTAGCTATAAATGTTCAGAGTGAGGAGGGGTAAGATTGAATAGTATTTTTGCCCCAGGTCCTTTTGAAGAGATTTAATTGCATAATGCTGAATATATATAGGATACTTTCAAGGATAAGCAGCTGGCTTCAAAAAAATTTCTAAGCATGAGTTGTGTGTGTAATCTGACAAAAGTTTCCACTGGAAGAGCAACTTTCCGCATTAGTGCTGCAACACACAAGCCTGTCCTATGGGCTAGGCAGCAAGCATATTCCTTACAAGTGGAGGAACACAAACACTTTTTCAGAAGCCCTATGTGGTCTCACTCTTCTTGACCCATAGCTGGACTGCATGCTTGAGCAGTCGAGAGTTTGTATGAATTCGGATTAAACCAACAGGGATACTTGGGAGATGGGGTGGCAGAGCTATTTCTAGTGGAGGACTGCATGATCATATAGACCAGTGGTCTCCAAACTTTGATTGCGCACCCCTATCAGTAAAAATTTTTTTTGAGTACGCACCCCCGCCTGACGAAGCAAAAAACAAACAAACAAAAAAAAGCGCTCCTCCTGCCGTGCACCCCCAAAGATCCTCGTGCACGCACCCCACTTTGGAGACCACTGATATAGACCAGCAGATGGTTCCAGTCTAAGGCCCCAGTCACCCAAGGAGTTGCACATGGGTGAGGCTCTATGATTTCATCAAGCTCCGCTCATACAGAGCTCTTTACTTCTCCAAATCCAGGAGAGGAGTTAAACATGTTTCCTCCCTCCTACTCCGACTCTGGTCTAGGCCAATCTAAGTGAAGAAGGGCATGAGATCCTCTGAATTGGAGGTAAACCCTAGCAGGGAAGGCTACAGCAAAGCAGATGAAAGAGGAGGCACAAACATGACTCTATTCCTAGGGACAAGCTGGCACCCAAAGGCAATATGAGGGATGGGGAGGAGAAGATGAGAATCCCTGGGACAAGGATTGCATCCACAAATGCACCTAGCCTCGTCATCTTGTGGGGAAACTTGGTCAAGCGTTCTGGTCGAGGGCAGTCTGGGAGTGGCGTGTGCTTTATTTAAATATTCCATTTTTTGCTTTAACCTCAGTAGGGTTACAGATCTTCCAACCTTGGGATGCAATCTGTGTAGCATCATTGATTTTCAACTGTATTAAATAGGCTACAAGACATTTAAAAACATTAGCAAACTGTACCAAGCTGAAAGAGGGCAGGAGACCCATAAATGATTCTACTAGGGAGTCTAACTGCAAGGGGTAAGGATTTCTACTTACACAACGAACCCAGAAGTGCTAGCCTTGGGAAGCCAATGCCCAGCTCACAGCAGGAGAGTTTTACAGAGTCCTTCCAATAGTGCTAAATGGAGGAGGATCCTAGCTAGAGGAGTTGGGGAAACGATCGAGAACCACTGCTGTAGAAGAGCAATTGGCACTGGGAGCTCTCAGAGCCAGGATAGGGGACTAGCCGGACCATTGACTGATTCCTTTCTGTGGGACTTGCCATGTCATAAGGTACAATTTTTACATGCCTCAGTCTCCCCAGACAACAGCCCTGAGGTCTCAGCAATAGCCCCACTGAACAGTGTTCTGGGATTGATTCTGCTGCTCACAAGGATGAGTATCACCCCACTGCAGACTTTCCTGCTTTAATCAATAGTAAGATGAAGCCGTAGGCTACCCATACTCCCCTCCTCAACAACGAAACAATACTCCAGAAACAGAACATCTGAAACTGGAGATGGGTACCCTGGTTCCACTAGGAGTCTCCAGGAAAATTTCCCCCAGGTGGACTGAGCATCCCAGCAGCTCCTGTCATGTATAAATACACAGGAAAAGTCAGTCTTGGTGCTCAGTACCTCTGAGACTTCCCAGCAATGCCTCACAGCTAAATTTCACCTGGAATCCTTGCACCAACAGAACTAAAGGCTCAACCCTGCAGATAAGCAAGGACTTAGCCTGTGATGAGTCTCAAACACTTTTGGCCTCTCCCAAGAAGTTATTTTCTCACTAAGGCCCCCAAGTTGGCAAAGACTTGAGTCTAGAAACAACTTTACACACATATCAGAGGGGTAGCTGGGTTAGTCTGGATCTGTAAAAAGCAACAAAGAGTCCTGTGGCACCTTATAGACTAACAGACGTATTGGAGCATAAGCTTTCATGGGTGAATACCCACTTCGTCAGACGCACTTTACACACTGCAGTCAAGGCATACAGTAACACTCACACACGGTCTCTGCAGGATTGAGACCCAAGCAATCAGTGTCTTAGGGAAGAAGGGAAAGAAAAGTAACAGGTAACATGTACAGTAGCTACAGCCCCACACACGGTGTAGCACTCTTGGCCAGCTTTCTGTGGCAAATTCCCCCTTCTCAGTGGTATTCCATGGTAAACTGAGGCAGCATGCAGGAAACACTGTGGCAGGTTTATGTAAAAAGTTTTTAAAACTGGGGCTGTCTTGGAATTAACTATGAATCAGTAATGTAATCCGTACATTATGCCTTGTGTTAAATTTCATATTAACTTAAGTTTACTTTGCATTGACAATTGCCTCGTTAGGGACAATGTCCTGCATAACTGTATCACAGACATTATCAGAAGCAGACGCTTGAAGTTTTGGCAGCTGGATAAGGGACAGTTAGGGCTTTCAGAAACTGGAGAGGAATGGGAGGTAATTTGATATTGTGGGATAAACAGATTAGCAGAGTTTTTGCTAAAAGATTCATCAGTGAAATAAGTAACAGTGTTGATATCATTAGGCTTCAGAGTCCGCATGTTACCGATATAAACGGGACAGTTCATGACTCTCAGAGCTAGTGTTTTAGGCTCTCTGAAAACTCATCAAGACAAGACTACATCATCTGACACTGTGATCTCATCTGGAATGTCTCCTTCCCAACCATAAAGGATTAGGCTCTGGATCATTTTTAAAATGGAAACTAAGAATCTGGAGCACAATTCTGTAGCAAAAGACAAACGTCGCAGCATATTTCACAGGGCTACGGAGTACGTGGAGCCTTGATGAGTCAAAGCTGTCCTAACTGGCCCAGCAACAACAGGTCAGATTTTAAAGTTTTGGGATCCTTCCTGATTAAAGGTATGATATACAATAAGATGTCAGTTTCCCCCAGAAATTGTCAGTTTCCCCTAGAGTACTTACATGTGGTTCATCTGCTATTATTGGTAGGAGTAGAATGGTCACACCTAGAGGCCTTAACCAAGCTCAGGAACCCCGTTGTACGAGGCACCGTACAGACATCTTAAGAGGAAGTAGAGTTTATTTTCTAAATAGACAAAGACAGACAAGGGATGGAGGAGGAAGGAACAGAGAGATGAAGGGACTCATTGAGGTCATGCAGCAGGTCAGTAGCAGAGCCAGAACCAGACTCCAGGTCTCCTGACTCCCCATCCAGTGCCCTCTCCCCCAGACCACATTGTCTCTCCAACACAGATTCTCAATTCCGCAATGCATCCACCTTGCATTCAATTCCTGGATCCTCCAGTCAATCCTGCCTTCCAGCCACAGAGAAATGCCACCTCCATGCTTCCCGACTGCAAGTCCACAGTCCACCAATAAACAACTCGACCCAGAGGGGGAATTACTCGGGAGACTTCCAACACCAGCAAGAGTCACCACACCATGCACGCATGAAGCCAGCCGGCTCCAGCACAAGACCGATCAATAGGAGCACTCAGATGTATAGCTTATCCGGAGTAGATTCCTCACTGTCCCCACGAACTGGAGGGACAGGGTACCAGTCTCCCCAACAGAAAACACTCTATCCCGCACCTTTCCCCCTGCACATGCAGAGAGAGAACCTTTCCCCCTGCTTCATGCAGCAAGGCCAAGGGAGCTCACTGGTCATTTCACTTGGAAAGGGTAAAAGCCTCTTCCATACACGTATCCGAGTTCGGTTCCTGGTTTTGCCAAAGCCTGGCGTTTGTAGCCAGGTAACCCCAGGGGGGGCATTTCTATTTTAAACTGTACGGCTGCCTTTCGCAGCGCGGAGGGGGGGCAAATGCCACCCTCCGCTGGCGGGTCAGTCCCTGGTTAACAGCTGTCTCTCTTGGCAAGCCCAGCCGCCCCCGCCACCTCCCGCCAGGCCAAACCTACCTGGTCCCATCAGCATCTGCACCTCTTTCTGCCCAGGGCCGGGGGAGAACTCCGGCGTCACAGGCCCAGCTCTGACAGGCGCCACTCCAGCCCGTGTAAACGCCAGTTCGAAGCAGACGGGAGCAGAGACAACATTCCCCCCGCCCCCAACAAAAAAATACAACCGATCCCCCGGGAGATTGTGTGTCCCCAACTCCGGCCATCCAAGGGGATGGGAGGAAGGGGAGGGGTCCCTGCGTGAGCCCCCCAGCAGAGGGAGAAAGGCGGAGGCGGGGGGGGAAGCAGGCGCTGCATGGAGCCGGGGGAGCAGCCCGGGGGGGGGCGAGTGGCCTGTAGCGGGACCAGCAACCCCCCCGTTCACTGACCTCATTCCCGGCAGCGGCAGGTCCCGTCCCGGGGGTCCCCGGCACACGCCCCGCCGCGACTCCTACCCCGGCTCACCCCGCGCCCCGAGACAATGTAGCCAGCGCCCACGCGCGACCCACGCGGGGCGAAAGTTTCTCTCTTACCGCAGGGCTCCGCCTCGCCCGCCGCCCGGCTCCTGCCGCCCCGGGATTAATCGGCGAGCCGCGGAGGAAGCGGGCGGCCCGGGGGGGGTGATTCCCTCCCGGCCTGGCTGGGCAGGGAGGGGCGGGCTGGCCGGCCGGGGCCCCCTGCTCCCGGGGGCTGCCGAGAGAGGCTCTTTGTTCTGTAATCCCAGTAAGATTGCCAGCCATTCGCCCCGGCGCTAATCCCAGCCCCGCTCAACAGCAGCCTCCATTGGCTGCCATTTACATACAGGATTAGCCAGCCCGCAGCCCGGCCGGGGGGGGGGCCTGGGCATGGCCCGGCGCCACGGGGAGGGGCAGCGGGCGGGCGGGCCCCGGGGAGCGGAGAACAGGACCGCGGTTCTCAAACTTTTGTCCTGGGGACCCCGTTCCCCCGGAAAGCCTCGCAGTGCGACCCCCCTTCTACGTGAAAACCGCATTTAAAACAAAAAGATGTAACCCGATTATAAATGCTGGAGGTGACCTGGGGTTTGGAGGCTCTAGGGTGAGCAGATAGCAAGTGTGAAAAATCGGGACAGCGGGTGGGGGGTAATAGGAGCCTATAAAGGAAAAAGACCCCAAAAATCAGGACTGTCCCTATAAAATCGGGACATCTGGTCACCCTACGCGACCGCCACCTAATAACCTTGTGACCCCCCCGTTTGAGAGACCCCTGGAAGGGGGGCAGTGGGTAGAGTGACCAGACGTCCCGATTTTATAGGGACCGTCCCGATCTTTGGGGCTTTTTCTTATATAGGTGCCAATTACCCCACACCCCTTGTCCCGATTTTTCATGCTTGCTGTCTGGTCACCCTAGCAGTGGGGCAAGGGTGGGAAGCCTGGCGGAGAAGAGGAGCAGAGGCACTGAGGGGAGGGGGAGGGACGTGTTGAGAAAAGCCAGGAGGACAGGTCACGGGGTGGGGGTGGGAGCTGTGAGCACAGGGTGCGGGTGTCAGAAGGCTGCAGGTGGTCTTTGGCACCTTGGAAGGGTGCTTGCTGGTCTCCCTGCCTCTTCCCCGTTGCCCGTCTCCCTGCCTCTTCCCCCTTGCCCAGCCCGGCGGCATGGGGGTGCACCGATTTGCAAAGAGAAACGGGGAGACGTGGGGGGGTGCTTTGGGTATAAGCCTGAAGCAGGCTCAGCTATAGGGACTCCCAGTTTTCCTGGGCATTGGGTCACCCTGCTGTTTTAGGGGGGAGGGATGTGCTTTGGGGGGGCTGGCAGGGATCCCTGAGGCGCCTGTGCACTCAGCGAGCCTCTTGCCCCTGCCAACAGTCCAGCTGGCCGCGTCCTCCTGCCGGCAGTCAGGTGTTCTGCAGGAGTGGTGGCTTGTAACTCCAACAGGGACCCCCAGCTGGCCCTGAAAACAGGGAGACGCGGGCACCCAGCCTCAACAGCGGGAGGGGAGGGATTTACACTGCAGGCTCCCCTCCTCTCCCTGGCCTGGGGGAGCAGGGCTCCCCCGCAGCTGGGGTGTGTCCACCATCTCCTTGGTCAGTCTGCTTTAACCTCTGGGAAAGGAGTCAGTCGGGTAGAAAAGGAACGCGGCGGAGTTGTTCTGCAGCATCAGCCAGGCCTCTGGGTGCCTTCCCCTGGAGGGACGCTGTCATGGCCACAGGTGTTCTGCCTGCACTTCTTGCGCCTCCACTGGGAGCAGGGCTGCCTCTCCAGATTAGAGACTGCAGAGCAGCGCCTAGGGAACATACCAACCCTTCCCCAGATTGCAGGGTATGGGCACAGGGAGTGGCTCCAGATCTTGCCTCCCTTTCCTGGGGGAGCGTCTCTGCCTGCACTGGAATCCAAGCTGCGACCACAGCGGGCACGGCCCTGGGTTTGTACAGCACCGACGGGCTGAAGCAGCTGTGCGCCAACTCTGCCTGTGCAGGGAAAGCAGATGTCTGTGAAGTGATGGGCAGCAGGGTAGCTAGAGTGCTTTGGTGCAAGTGCACGTCTCTATTTATTGTTTCACAGCGTGTCTATCGCCACCTCTTGGTACATTTACACAGTCCTTAAAAATCACATAAGACATCTAACTTGACACAGCAACTCATCCCAAGAGCTCAGGAAGCAATCTCCCCACAAACCCATACAGTCAGTACTCCATCCCTCCTGCCAACAGCCTCCTCTGTCCAACAGGGAGAGAATAAGTCAACAGGGAAGTCTGGAACAGTTCTTGCAGCTGAGTGAAATCAGGCTCTACCAGGCTAACACAGGAAATAATTTCAAGTCCAGAGGCTCCTGCTCTCCCACCAAAGGCCCTGCAGCTCCAATACTGGGGTATCAAAAGGAACCATTAGCAACAGTTCAGCTGATTGCAGCTGGAAAAGGAGGATAGGCAGGTATTTCAAGTAGCCTGGGCTTAAAGTTGTTTGATGTTTGAGATTGAAGACATCACTTTCTATTACACCCAGAAGGCAGTGCATGCTAAAACACACAGGTGCAAGAAACACCTTGGAGCAAGCAAGCTGCCACATTCTGTACTAACTTCCAAGTTGTCTTGAAGGATAGCCCCATATGGTATTATTTTAGGAATGGATTACGGCAAAGGCTTGAATAACTCCTGCATGATCCACACTCAGAGAGGAGGCCCCAGCATCCATCTAAGGTTTACTCTAGTGCAAATATATTTGACTGCCGGGATATATCTTGGAAACAACTCTGCACCTTACAGGGAATTATTCTGGTCAGACACTGTGGCCATAAACAAACTTTTGCTGGTTTCAAAGCTGGGACAAGCGTCTCATGAATATTACATCACAACTAAACACCCTATCATTTCCTAAGATTAACTACCTGAATACCAGCTCCTCAGGTTGGGCAGAGATGCTGCTGTGCTTCCCGGTCACGGGGAAGACAGCATTTCTTCGTCGCTGTAGCTCAAAGGGATGACCATAACAGTCCACTCCAAGTCTGTAGTGTCATTATCCAGCGTGCAAAGGCCTGAAAGCCGGCAAGCAAGATGCCAGATTGTGAAAGACCACCCGCTCCTTACAGCTCCCCCATGCAATGCTGTCAGCAACCAGGGACACTTCCATTTGTATATTCACAGCAGGTCAAACCAGCCGTTCTCCAACGCCGCATGCTTACACTTCTCTGCTTCCATGTGCCCTGGATGATATTAGCCTTCTCGCAGCTCAGGGGCCCTGGGATCACAAGTCTTTTACCTTCCAAGATCAGAATAGGCATAACCATTGACTACCTTGGGATGTCTTGGGCTCTGTCTCAAATGACAGATCTTTCCCTTGGCAACCAGCAATAAGGCATTTCCAGCAAGGTGGGTAACTAGAGATGTTGCTCAGATACAGCCCTCACTTTTACACAGGTAAATTGGAGAGGGGTCTATAAACCTTGCCTTAAACAGGTTCCTTCCCCCAAGGTTAGGGGGTTTGCTGACAGAGGATCATTACCTAGAAAGGAGACACCACCAGATCAGGGAGCAGCTGCACACAGAGCTCCAGAAAACCCAAGGGGAAGGAAATGTAACTGAGCCCTAACCTGAAACTACCCCCATCATTAGCATTGGAGAGAGAGACAATAATGACACAGTGAAACCCTCAAGCATGGGTAGGACCAGCAGCTGGGAGGCAGAGAACGAATTGCTCCATGTAGCCACTACAGGTCTCTTTGTAGGGGGCCAACATCAGTTAGTCTGTTCCTGGCGTCCATTTACTGATAGGAAGTCATATTACATAAACATGACCACCCTATGGTGCCAGAGGGGAACACACACCTAGCGGAGATGGGGAGGAGCTGGGATGGTGGAGGTGAAAACTGGAAGAGGCTAAGACCGGGCAAGAAGTGACTCCTTGAAGTGAAAAATGACCGCCGCCGGGGTAGCGTGGCGTATTAGGGAGGGAGTGGATAGGACACAGGACAAGAAGTCAGGACATTTTTAACAGCGAGGGGAATGATGGGAACAACTGACTCAGGGCTGTGATGAACTCTTCATCACTTGCAGTCTTTACATCAAGCCTGGGTAGATTTCTAAAGGAGACGCTATGGAATTTACTGGCTTGTTACAGAAGTTACTGGGTGAGGTCCTTTGGCCTGGGCTGTAGGAACATAATGGTCCCTCCTGATCTTAAAATCTAGGAATCTGTACCTGCCTCTACCACTGACCTGCTGGGTGACCCTGGACAAGTCTCGTCCCCTCATTGCACCTCTGTTCCCCTCCCGCTTTTTGTCTGTCTTGTCTATTCAGATTGCATGCTCTTCCAGGCAGGGACTCTCTCTTACTGTGTATGTGTACAGGGCTTAGCACAATGGGGCTTCGGGGTGCTACTGCAGTACAAATATTGAGAGGCTTGGAATGGAAGCTGCTAATTCCGATTAAGTGATGCTTATTCAGATCAGCGAGGAGTGGGAAGGTGTGATTTGTTTTGTAATGCCCTAGGGAGGTCCTCGGAGTTCCTCTTTGATCCAATGCCATGTTCCTTTTGGGAAAAAAATAAAAAAAAAAACCACAAGAAAAAAGAAGTCCGTGTTTGCCAAATGGGAAAGGACTCTCTGTTGGGGGAAAAATTACTATTTTCAAGCTTCTCACTGGGTATTAAGTGATGGGAAGTTAAAACAAATCAAAAACTATTTAAAAAAATAACTCAACAGCATTTTAACCTCTAAAGTTTAAAAACTGCTGACTTCTTTTTCTTCCAAACATATATTATGCAGCTGCTCCATTAGCTGGATTTTGTTTTAAATATGTGATGATTTATTACTGCTCCAGGGCCAAAGGGAGGGAAAAAAACATTTTAAGAGAAATGAATTTAAGTTTCTGAAGCATGGAAGGTTTTTTAGTCTCCACCAAGCTGTTAACAACACTGCCTGGAGTGCAGTTCCATCAGCTCAAAGAAAGACTCCAGCAATCCAACCCCACTCGCCCTGTGCAAACCCAACTAGAATACGCAAACAGCTTTGCTGTGCAAACCCAGTGAGACAAGATTTTTCACCAGGAACCCTCAAGAGTGGCAGGGTCGAGGGGCACCGTGCGATCCAGTCTTTCTGCAACTTACCAGAACATGCTCAAGAGTTTTTTGCCATTAAGTAAGCAGCCTCTCCCACCAGGAGGAGCCAGTGGAGGGTCTATCTAAAGTGGGATTAGATGGGAGGGATGTTGCTGTCTCGTGGGGAGCAGCCTAGAGCCAGGGAGCGGATTATCTCTGGCCCTTGTATAGAGGAGGGTGTGTTACCTATTACAGTCGTTTGATGTACAGCAGGCAGGGTAGCTTTCCCCT